AGATGTATTTTCCAGTGGGTTTAACTCTACTCTCAGTTACACAGGCTCAGACCTCATTCATCCTTTTAACAGGAATTTTGCCCTGTTAGGTTTTATCTGTTCAATGACATCAGTCTTGTTACATAAAATTCACATTAAAACTTTATATTGGGCTTGGGTTTTTTCAGTTAAAGGTAAAGCTACCCAACCCCCATCCTTCCTCCCTCCCTCCACAAAAGTGACATATTTTTAATTGAGCAAAAAAACTGTATCAAAGCATATTAGTGACTCCTAGTGCTCCTGATAGGATGTGCCTAGAATAAATAGGAAATGTGTGAATAAATAGGAAATGCATTTTAGCACTTTCATAGCCCCATATCTCAGAAAATTATTGTATCTTTCCAGCCTCACCAAGATATACATTAGGTGTCTGTACTTTGTTGGTTACTGAGGTATCTAGAATGGAAAAGTGAAAATTAATCCCAACAAATCTGCTAATTTAAGAGGATGAAATGCTCAGCTCTGTTCTCATGGGGAGGCCAAAGCTGCAGGAAGATGAATTCCATGAAATAGGAAAAAAGCTCCTTTTCAGAAACATCCTGCACAGAAGGGAGTGATTTCATAGCATACTCATGGTCCAGGAGTGAAAAGGCGAGACACTGTTAAATACCCTGAACAGTTAGAGAAGCCAGGATGTTGGCTTTAGTCTCAGACTCTTTTTCTGTTTATATTGCTAGGACGGGCAGCCTTTGAAAACCAGCAGCATCTTCACTCCATATTTATAGATTACTCCCTTCCTGAATAACTGAAGCTCTCGGCCAGAATGATGTTGCAATTGATTTTCACAGAGAACTTTCATTGACTAGGTTGTTACGTACCTTCTGACACATGCCTGACCCTGCATTAAACAAATACAAGCCGGTTTTCCAGGATGCACATTTTTCACACTTTCAAATTACTTTTCAGTTAATTCTATTACACGCTCAGTGAACAGAGATGTTGCATGCTTTTTTTTTTTGTTGTTTGTTTTAATGGAGTACAGCTCCAGCCCTTGAGAGGACACAATAATTCCAGAATAAGACCAGTGGGCATAAGGGAGAAAAGAGAGAAAGAGGAGAAAGAGCAGAAGGAGAAAGAGGATGAGGAGGAAGAGAGGAAGAGGGAGAGGGAGAAGGAGAGAAGCTTTTCTTAATGTGCTAGGTATGCCTCGTTATGCTTACAGTTGTAGCTGTTGAGATGAAATCACCAGGCTCAGGTATTAAGATAAATAATAATATAACTTAAGCAGAGCACTCTACATGCTCCATTTACCCCTCACCTTTCCCAAAGGTGTCAGTGCTCACTTTCTGTACCAATTAAAAGTGAAGACTGCATTGGTGACAAACATGCAACTATAGCTGCAGACAGAGCTGGAGAGATGGACTCTTCTGTCCCTCTTAAGTTTTGGACATCCTTGATTTTCTGGATTAATAAATACTGCATGGACCCTACCTTGCATCCCAGTCTCAGAGCACATTGTGTAACCATCAGAAGACTTACCAGCTGTGTTTAAAGTTTATTAAGAAACAACTATTATATTGCCAGGACAGATTCAGTGCTCTGAAGTCAAGGCTGTGGATACAGACGAGTTTCGGTATATCTGAGTCCATAGTTTAATATAGTGATCTTGTAGACCAAATGATATCACAAAGTAAGGCATATACCCCACATCATCTGTCTGAGTTCCTAAAAAAATAGTCCTGAGTTACCTGAGACATTTATAGAAATCCGTGAAATTGGAAACGGACAATTTTGCAGAGAACGTGCTTTTGCTGCTGTTTGAAAATCTGCAGTTTGAAGGCCTAACACTTCAATCCTTAATCCCAAGGAGTCTAAGTGATTTGCCTGCATCACAGCTGCCCAAGAAACCCAAATTCAGCAACAAGAGGTTAAAAAAACTTCAGTAACTTACAAAGCCACATTTGAGTTACAGGCACATAAAACTTCCTGGAATTTATTTAATTGGACTGTTCTAAAAAAACCCCACCAAGACTCTAGAAAAATCAGTGAACTGACTGTTCCTCTCTCCAAAATATGGTAAGAAAAAGAAGCAAACTCTGTATTATGAGTGCCTTCAATAAAAATTTGGATGCCTGGGAAGATATGTCAAGTGATATAAAATAACCTTCATACATATACAATAATTATGTGTTATATAGAAATTAAGTACATAGGTATGGCAGTACACAAAAGTTACTTAGCCATCAAGTAAAATACACTCAGACTTCTAAACTGTGTTAATTTAATGGTCATCTGTCAAGGGCTAACTGGCAGGACATGAAAATCTTCTTAATGAGTTAATTTAGGAGTCATAATCTAAAAACCCCGTTCAAACATTGCTAAGCTTCTCTGAAGTGCTGACTGCTTAGAAGAAAGAAAATTGAAATCCCTCTCTTTTGTTTCAGTACAGAAAAAGAAAATCCTCAAAGTCTTTAAAAGTTGCCTGCCATGGGCAAGCACTATGTACATATGTACTGCCATTTCTAATTTTGCAGGAAGATTGTCTGTACAATAATTTTAACTCCCCTTAACTGTGGGGAAAGTCTTCTCTGAGGTTAGTCCTGTACTCAAAGGTACAGGTCCTCTATTTCTCTAGGTACAGGTACGGGTACAGAGGACTACATACAGGTCCTCTATTTCCAAGTCAGTTCCTTGGACTAAAAGCATTTAAAACTGGGTATTTAAATTGAACGTCCAAGATTTGTATCTGGATGTTTACACAGAAAGTAACTCGTCTTCGAGGATTTAACCATGCAATATTTTCTCAAGAACAAAAGGATACTCAAGCTCTAAATGGGGAGTTTTAAATGACAGAGAGTCTTTCCTCTAACATGTCTGCGAAAAGCTTTATTTGGCTGGAAGAATTCTTTTCTCTCATTATAAATTGTTAGGCACAGTGCAGGAAACATAAGTATGCTGCAAACCCAGTTTCTAATGACCTTTTCTCACAAAATGTGTTTTTGTTGAGGTGAAAACAGCGGAAGAGATAGATACAATTCCGGATGATATATTTTGTTCCCATTATACAAAAGAGGATTTCATCATGTGAAAGAGAAATGGGAGTTCCCAGTGTGACTACTCTATTACAAAGAAAAGCACCTCTTTGAAAATTAATGAACATTAAATATTTGTACAGTCAAATGAAGATCTGTTTTCAGGGAGCTAGTTTCCCTGTGTTCTTGGGCTCTAAGCTGGGAATGGTTCAAAATAAATACTGAGGTTCATAGCCATGAATAACAATGATGATATATTAGGGTTGAGATGACCACTTTCAAACTCATATTACCAATCTGAGTATGTGATATGCTAAACACACAGTTCTTTATTCATTAAAGAACAGCAGATTTATTATATGATTGCAGAGACATATACTTTCAGCTTTGCAGAAAAGGACCTGGGGGTCCTAGTGGACACCAAGTTGACCATGAGTCAGCAATGTGCCCTTGTGGCAGATATGGCTAATGGTATTCTGGGCTGCGTTAGCGAAAAAGTATTGCCAGCAGGTCGAGGGAGGTGACCCTTCCCCTCTGCTCAGCACTGGTGAGGACACACCTGGAGCGCTGGGTCCAGTTCTGGGCTCCTCAGTGCAAGAGGGACATGGACATACTGGAAAGAGTCCAGCAAAGGGCCATAAAGATGACTTGCATCTCTCCTACAAGAAAAGGCTGAGAGAGTTGGGACTGTTTAGCCTGGAGAAGAGAAGGCTCAGGGGATCTCATCCATGTATACAAATACCTGAGGGGAGGGTGCAAAGAGGATGGAGCCAGGCTCTTTTCAGTGGTGCCCAGTGATGGGACTAGAGGCAATGGGCACAAACCGAAACACAGGAGGTTCCCTCTGAACATCAGGGAACACTTTTTTCACTGTGAGGGCGAACGAGCACTGGCACAGGTTACCCAGAGAGTTGGTGGGGTCTCCCTCCTTGGAGATATTAAAAAGCCATCTGGACATGGTCCTGGGCAACTAGCTCTAGATGGCCCTGCCTCAGCAGGAGTTTGGACCAGATGACCTCCAGAGGTCCCTTCCAGCCTCAAGCATGCTGTGATTCTGTGAAAGGAACAGCTGTCATGTCATTTCATAGCTTGCTTTGGTAATATTCCTACTCATTAGCGTCCTGGTTTTGGCTGGGGTAGGGTTAATTTTCTTCCTAGTAGCTGGTACAGTGCTATGTTTTGGGTTCAGTATGAGAAGAATGTTGATAACACACTGATGTTTTCAGTTGTTGCTAAGTAGCGTTTATACTACATCAAGGATTTTTCAGCTTCTCATGCCCAGCTAGCAAGAAGGCTGGAGGGGCACAAGAAATTGGGAGGGGACACAGCCAGGGCAGCTGACCCAAACTGGCCAAAGGGGTATTCTGTACCATTTGATGTCATGCCCAGTATATAAACTGGGGGGAGTTGGCTGGGGTGAGGTGCGGGTCACTGCTCAGGAACTAACTGGGCGTTGGTTGGCAGGTGCTGAGCAATTGCATTGTGCATCACTTGTTTTGTATATTCCAATTCTTTTATTATTATTGTCATTTTATTATTGTTGTTATTATTTTCTTCCTTTCTGTCCTATTGAACTCTTTTTACCTCAACACAAGAATTTTACCTTTTTTTCCTGATTGTCTCCCCAATCCCACTGGGTGAGGGGTTGAAGTGAGCGAGCAGCTGCATGGTACCTAGTTGCTGGCTGGGGGTAAACAACGACAATTAAATTCAGACACTTTTCTTGAGACATGTAACTGCTGTACTCAAGAAATATTGGTTTTGATGCTTTCCCCACACACAAAGGAGAAGAAGATTTTGTTCTTAAGAACAGGTTAAGCTGAAGTTCTTACAAATGCTTCTGAAGGCCTTAATTTTAGTATGCATCAACAACTGCAGAAAACACAAAGCCTAACTGGTCAGAAACAAAATCTCTCTCCCAAACGATGGAGACTCCACTTTTCCTCACCCAAACACCATCAACTTAACATGCAGAGCAAAGACACTCACATGCAATGCGGACGTAGGCTTTCCGGCTCTTGGTGGTGCCTGCAGAGCTCCAGGCAACGCACTGGCACCAGTAATCTTCAGGCCCAAAGAGCTCCTCGACTTGCTGTCGGGAAATCTCAATGCTTACCTCTCGGACAATCAGACCTGTCAGGGTACAAGTAATGGTGGTTAATATTAGGCTTACAGATAGAAAGAAAAAAGTGTAGGTACAGAATTCTGCTTGCAAAGCTGTTATGAGACCTTACAGCTCTACAAATATCTACTCAGCAACACATGCTGTCATAAGGATGTGAAGGAAAAAAAACCAACAAAACACCACTTTATCTGCATAATAAGAGAAGTGGGTGAATGAAAAACTAATCACTGTGGTTTTGACTTTGATCACATACCACATATATGTTAGACAAGCAAGAGGAACAGCACCTCAGCTGACATAAATTGTACCATGTCCTAGGACGATTTACATCAAGTGATGATCAAGCCCAGTTTTATTTTCATATGAATATCATAAGACCACAGAATCATTCAGTTTATATGACTCCCTTAGCCCTCCTGTATTTCATTTCCTTTTGCTAGACAGATACAGCAGAGGGAGAAGTCCTGTTCACTCTGACACTGAACTGCCCAGGAAAATGGATTTTACCATTGCAGAAAATGTCCCAATATTCTGTAATGATGGGCACATGTGCTGCAGTATGGTTATTGCAAGCTGCAGTTTGGGGACTATTACTGTCATATATACTGCAGATACGGCGATATTTTTTAGGTGATTTTATAATACAGTGCAATACACTTCAGTGCCTGACGGTCTCCCTGGCCCTGCCCTTCGTAACACATCTCAGCGCAACCCCCTCCAAACCCACAGTTGCACCAACGATGACAGTGACCCATTCGTTATCCTTCCAAGCAGAATGATATTTGCCCACATTTCCCACACAGTACTCTCTGTTGGGAAGCTGTTTTGCTTCTTCTAAGTGCAAGGAAATATTGCGGTGTCTCAGACACCACTGCAAGAAGCGTTGGTAATGTGCTGATCCTCTAACTACAACCACTGTGTTTCATACTGACACAACCCCTTTCTCTGCCTCAAAATGCACTGCCTGCTCAAAACACTCTTAATTCCAGCCAAGATACTGGGCCGGGGTGGGATAGAGCGCTTACACCTCTTGTCAGCTTATTTGGTCTTTGTTGCCGATGCCAAAGTATCACTAAGCTTCTAATGTGTGTCTGCCTGTAGAAAACACCATCGCCATTTCAAAAATGCACTCTTGCAAACAGCCTTGAATATATAAGTTCACATAAAAGTATTTTGTGTAGTGGGACTGATTTTCTTTTTCCTTCCAGAATTGCCCGGAAACTCAACTGAAAGATCCTTGGATCACAGCGTGCACAGTTTGTCCCCATCACCAAACACCAAAGGGCAGGTCCTTCTGCTGAGCACAGACTTGAGCCCGTGGAGGCCAGCTACCCTCAGCCTCCTGCCACACGGCTTACAAGGTAATATTCATAACTTGAATGTTCCCAAGTGCACAGCACGGCACGTTCCTCAAGCACTGGAAACCAGGCCAGCCCTTTGATTTGCCTCCAGCCTCACAGAGGCTCCATTCAGGGAGCCAACGATTAATTACTGTTTGCACACAGTTGTGCACTGTCATTGAGGCTGCATGCTGTTTGCATCCAAAACTTGGTTAACAACTTAACAGCAGAAAGGAATTCATGCATGTAATACCATAGACTTCTCTGGTGGGAATGCCTTCTAATGAGATGCATTTTCCTGCTAGAGACTATCACAGCCTAGATGCCTTTTTATTTCATTATCCTTGACATCTTTAGCCATTGAATAATCAGCTACTTTGGGGGAAACACTTAATAGCTTTCCTCCTTGAAATGAAATACTCAAAATATGGCAACTGCACTCCAAAGAATGGAAATCAAAGTGGTGCAAGGGCATTTGATATGCAGTGAACACTGTGTTATAAACTTGTTCTGCTTTGATGAGCTAATTTGGCTCCAAAAGGGGTCTGAGGGATAGCTTTTGTCCTGTTGAGAAGAGCATGAAGAGGGTGGGGTGGAAGCATGTACATTACATGCATAGAAATGGTTGTATTTTCCCAGTGCAACTGCTGCTAGCCTAAAGATTACTTCAGTTCATTCCCAGTTTTCATAGCACTAGCCCAGGGAGCCTTTGAAGGTTACAATATTATGTTTTTATAATAAGGCTGATTATGACAGAGCTTGATGGAGCAGTGAACTTTGTTACCCGAGGGCTAAAGCAAGCAGGCTCATAATGACAGTACTGGTTAATAATGATTATGAAATAGTCTTAACATTCAGGACATAAATACCATTTTCTGATAGTCTGTTGAAGATACAAACCCATATGATAAATAGCTCCCAGTGAACACACCAGCAGAACTTTTTATCTCTGACTTCCTGAGATGCTTTCTAATTCAAAATAACAAGCTACTCCAGGTAATGTCTTTTGGGACAGCCATGAAGTACTGATAGGTTTCAGGTTATTCAAAGTAATTTTTCCTTTGATCTTTGAGTAATACCAACTGTTGTGCCATGACCAAGGAGATGCACACCTTCTTGCCATAACAAATAGATGCCGCCTTTTTCTGCTTACAGGCAAAAAATATCACTGTGTCTTTGTCTTTAAGGTAAACTATTTTTTCTAGAGCTCAAAATGTGTCGAACCAGTTGGTGATGCCATGAGATCATCTGGGCTGTAAGGATCAATGGCCAGAACTCGAAGCTGATTCAACCACTCCTTCCCAGCATCGCTCTTCGGCACCTCACTGCACAGCCACATCGATACAGAAGAAACATTTCACCAGCTGAAATGCACGCAGCCTCAGACTCTGGGGCAAGCACAAAGGGATGCATTTCCTTTGTTGTGCCAACTTGCAATCCTATTCCTTCTGCTAACACACTGCAACGTAACCCCTAACAGAAAATCCCTTTCTAGGCTAGATTACAAAAACCGCAATTTGCTGAGATACCTCAGATAGCAACTGCCTTGTTACCAGCTGACATACTGCTGTACATCAGATTTCACAGAGGAGCTGGTACAGTCTGTCTGCTTTCATTCAGGAGTGTATCGCTTATCCACCTCACATGGGCACCAAGTGCAGGACAACCCTGGTATGATGACTTCAAACAGAGATCTTCATCTTATCCCTGTCAAAGCTGCTTCTGCTTCTACATCAAAGAACAGTAGCTGGAGTAATAAAAAAAAAAAAAAAAAAAAAAAAAGCCAAACAACCCATGTCTCAATATTTCCAGACAATGTGACACGCTGTGCCTGTAGTTCAGGCAACTGTTTATCGAATTGTTTGATTATTGGTCAGTGCACAACATCTGAGTGCAAATTTAGAAGTCAATTTATAAAATGAGTCCCTATATTTTGCCTAAATATACTTAGGACAAAACAGATTAACATCATTAGTAGTAATTTATGCAGCATATAATCTACCTGATATTGGCCAATTCTACTTTGCCGCAGTGCTAAGTAACAAAATGTCACCCTCTCACAGAGAATATCTCCTCTACCTTACCTTCTGTATTAGGAATATATTGAATTTTTCAATCTAGTTCCTCATATGGCTAAACTATACAGCAGGCAAAGATATGCAGCATAAATGTTTTCTTACAACACTTGAGTAAGCTGCACATTTCCAGAATTAATACAATCACGAAGATGGTGGCACAATCCACAAGAAGTCAGGATCTTCCTATTTTAAAGCAATGCAGTAACAAACACAGCTGAAGGGAGATAACAGAAATGTGGGCAGCTAGAATGCTTGACATGTCCCTTCTAACGTGTATAAATTCATAAAGAGCATCTATATAGTATTTCTAACTCGTACTCTCCCTCTGATGAATAGCTAGAATATGACAGGGAAAAGCATTTGCTTGCACTGTCCAAACTTGATTTGCATTCAACAAAGTGAGAACTGTTTCTGTAGCCTCTTGTAGCCCATCTGGATCTTGGGTATGAAGACAGATATGTGAAGATTTTGGGTCTAATTATCACCACCCTATTTCTGGCAACAAGAATATTGTGAAGAGAAGAGCTTTAAAATGAAAATGCAGAAAATCAAAGTAATTGAAAGCAATTATCCAAAATAAACAGTAATTGTATCTTAAGATTGTTCACTGAAAAACCTCACAGATCCTTAAAAATGCATCCCCAGGTTGCTGGGCTCTTTCTGCACAAGTGTTTCTTTTCTGATCTCAGTGAATAACTGCAGCATTCCCAAGAGAGAAGCAATGTAAGAACTTTTACAACTTGAGTATGAGGAAGTAAAAAAATCTCAGGAAAAAAAAACAAAAGCAAAAATATTTGCTGTCCTCTCTGGGTCCTGTGTATATAGATCTGGATCTGCTGGGTTATAAAAGATGTCACAGAGGCTGCTCAAGGCTGAAGCTATTTATATACACAGATCAGTCAGATTTAATACACTTACCTAAACCTGGCACCACAAAAAGATACTACATTGGTGGAATTTCCCTAAAGAGAGGTTCAAAACCCTGTAGCCATCAGGAGACTAAATAAACTGGTCTAAGATATCCTTTTGCCCTTAAGTTTTCTGTCCAGTTCAGGATGGAGGATAGCTTACGGCATTTGGCATAATCAGTCTGCAGATATGTCCCAGTCCAATGAATTGAATAGGTTCTCCATAAATGACAATTTTTGCATATTTAGTAACACAGCATATACAATTATTCATTTCAATAAAATAAATGTATCTCTGGGACTAATACCACTTGGGCTCTGAAAAGGAGCAGGAAGGAACCAGAACTTTACTTATTTCTGTATTTGCACATTAAGGAAGGATTAATGGGTGGAGAGAGGCAGAGGGCGGAGGGAGCCTTGCTCAGTCTGCCTACTGCTAATGTGTGCAGCTGAATGAGCACGGGGGGAGGCACTGGCTGATGGTATATATCAAAATAAAATTACTACCCCTCCTGGAGCAAAAGGAAGAGCGAAGAGGGAATTGTGCCTTATATACATGGTCTTTTATTATAAGCTGTATCCTAGAAACACAATCAAGCAAAGACACACTTCATTCATGTGGTCCCCGAGTGCTGAACTTAGCTGGCTATACAAACTGTGAGGTAGATTATCTGGTCTTCAG